CGCCTCTAAATCAACAGATGAAAGACAAATCAATTGCCTTTCCAGAAGCTGAGCAATTTGGGGAAACATGCATCAAATGTCATTATCATATCATTGGTGATGATGCATTTCCCTTGAGAAATGATATCATGAAACCATTCCCATTTAGACAACTGTTACATGAACAGCACATTTTCAACTACAGGCTTTCTAGAGCACGACGGGTTGTCGAAAACGCTTTTGGTATCATGGCTAATAGGTTCAGGGTGATGCTGACAAAGATTATGTTGGAGCCTGAAAAGGCTAAGCAAATTGTGCTGGCAATTTGTTGTCTGCACAACATGCTGATTGATGAGCAGCCTTCATATAAAAATGCATGTGACAGTGAAAGAGACAACCATGAGCTTTTTCAAGGCAGCTGGAGATTAGACAAATCTCTAACTGAGTTACAGAAGACAAAAAACAGAAACTGTTCATTAAGTGCTAAGGGTCAGCGTGAGCTTTTGAAACAATATTTTTGCTCAACATCTGGATCAGTATCATGGCAAGATAGTATGGTTGCAACAAAAAATAATGAACTCAACTAGCTAGTGTTGTATTGTACCTGCAAATTAGAAATAGACACTCTGTTGGATACATATGGGCTTAAAAATTGAAGGCGGTCTTCTATCCATTGAGTCTTCTTCGTCTTTTTTGGTCGTGCACTTCCACTGCTTGGGATTCTGCGGGAGCGTGCATATTGCGTGCGCAGAGATGCGATTCTTTTTTTTACTTGATTCACTAGAATGAATAAAACATGAATTCGTACAGCAATGTTTCACTTCAAATTGAGTAGGCCTAAGAAAAGAGGACTAGCCTAGCTAGCTAGTCAAAATTATTCACTCACCGTTTGAAGAAAGTTTAGTTGCAATTTCGTTCAGGGCTGCTAGCTTCTTGTTTCTGTCTGAATATTCTGGAGACGTAACCATATACAGACAAGCCTTTTCTTGCCACAGATCGACAAGCTGCTCCTCTTTGCTTGCTGTCCATATACCGACTTCGTCTTCTGTATTCTCCATGGCGTTCTCGATCTTTTTTCTTTTGGCGGGAAAGAAAGGCTCCACAGAATTCACGTGACCATATAATCCAAGTTTTATTGGTTTAAAAATTAAAAACTTGTCTTTCGACCCCGCACATTGCACGATTTTTGTCTTTCGTCGTAAAAGACAAAGACAAATATCAAACATTTTTGATCTCAAAGATAATCGTAAAAGACAAAAATCTTTGCGATTTTGCCCCGCACACTACAGATTTTCGTCTTTTGAGACAAAAATCTTCGTATTTTGCGACAAAAATCTGCTGTGTGCGCTAGGCTTTAATGAAAATACCGAAATTCCCGCGATAAACAGGTTCACTCAAGTGCCTCAGTTGCTGTAAAAGAGTAGGCTTAAAAAATGACTTAAATATGCCACTTTCCACCAAATACAAGGCCATCTATCATCGACTTGGTTCTCCAACGCCTAAATGTGATCTTTCAAATGTTTTTCTGAACTTATCATGTCTCGATTAACAGAACCTGCTACTAAACTTTTTGAAAAAGTTTTAGCAAGTCTCACAAAGGTTTCAAAGCTGAAAGGCTGTCAAATAAAAAGTTAAATTTTTTTATTTTTAAAAAGGTAACTTTTTTCAACTTTTAAATTAAAAGTGCTGTCAATGGTTTGAAGTTTGGTTTGGTTGGTTATTAACTATAAAAAGACGCCTTACGGCTTCACAAAAGTGGTTTCAATATCGACCGCCTTGCTGTTGACAATGCGGTCGCCATTACTCCTTTGTCGAACCTGTGCAATACTTTTGCTCACTAAGTGTATATCATTTAACTTTTGCAATGCACTTTCACCAATATCAGTGTCACCTGCCCATTCATGTCGCAATGATTCCCTAACCTTCTACTCACATCACACCAATCTGCCTTTATCCAGAACCTACCACCAGGATTTTCCTTTGCAATTGTGTCCAACATAGCATCATGTATGACAGAAGATTTCTCAAAATCCATCTTTTGAATCTTATTTGCAAAGTAATCTTATTTACTTATAGAATGAAATGGCAATACTCTTACAAGAACTGCAAATGGCTTTATATCTCTTTACTCTTTTCACTGGAAACCATAAAAATTAATAGATGAGTACCTACTCCTCTGTGCTTCAAGAAAATATTTTTGAGGTAGGAAGGTTGTTCATCAGAGAGTTTTGCCAGCTGATGAGGGATATTACTGTGCCCTGTTTCAGATTCAGCCAAAAATCCAAAAACAGTATTTGTCTTTTCCTTCAAATTCTTGTTCATTTCAATCAACTGCTTGAAACCTTCTACTTTGGAGGAAGCAAGAGCATCTACTTTGGAGGAAGCAAGAGCAACAATGATTCTTTGGAGGAACTTACTTTATCTATCATCTCATTATAAAGCTTCTTTGAACTTTTCAAACCTTTATCAAGGAAACTCAGATCCGCATCAAGTTCAGCTAAAATTTGTCCAAGATCAGAGGTAAGGACATTTTTTCTGCCTCCAATTCTAAGTTTAAAGCAAAAAGCTCTCCTCTTATCATATGAATCATTTAACCTTTGCAATGCATTTTCACCAATATCAGTGTCACCTGTCCATTCATGTGGCATTGATTCCCTCCACCCTCTACTCACATCACACCAATCTGCCTTTATCCAGAACCTACCACCAGGATTCTCCTTTGCAATTTTGTCCAACATAGCATCATGTATGATAGAAGATTTCTCAAAATCCATCTTTTGAATCTTATTTTGCAAAGTACAACAACTTAAACCTGGAACATTTACTTTGGCTTTCATTGTATCAAAAATGTAGGGATTTTTTGTTGCTGATGATGATGACCTACATTCTTTTCCAAGGCCCTACTTATTTGCAATCACATGCTGACATTCATTTCCCATTGATCTTTCATGGCTGACAACAGAATCAGGAAGTGGGGACCATAATGTTGAGCTTGTGGTATCACTAACAGTTAAGATATCAGCATCTGCTTCATGAAGGCAAGATAAACTACTCATCTTGAGTGCCGTTGGAAGTATGGCACCATCTTCTGGAGTTCCTTTTGAACCTTGAACTGCATTGAAAAGTCACTTAAATCAAATACTGGATCTGGAGAAAGCACATCAACACATCCAGAGACAGAATCCATTGACCCCACATCTAAATCATCTTCAATTTCGTATTCCCAACATGGGCCTCGATACAAACATGCTCATTTTGATCCAAAATTTGCATACATGCTCACCTGCCAATGCTAATAATCCTCTTCACAAGATAATCGATTGGACTTGGGCAAGGAGAAAAATTTAACTATGTAGTCAAAAAGACCAAAAGGCATCTTTCTGATTGGAAGACAGGTTTCCTCTCCATTGTCTCGTTTTAAAAAACACCTTGCTGCATGATGAATAAGATTGTCTTTACCTTTTTCATGAAGGTTGATAACGGCTGACATATAAGTTGAAAGGCAGACGTTGGAAAATTTACCTAAGATATTCTTATCAGAAAACAGATTTCTTGCATACTCAAGAAAAAAACTATTAAGCAACTCCAACTGCAAATCTACTGGCAAATTCCCAAAGCCACTCAAACAGCTATCAAAATTGTTACTAGTATCACTTCCAGAAAAGTAATCAATATTAAAGTACTTCTCTGCCTCCTCAATATTTTTAAAGTTAGTGGCAAGATACGATGTAACTTTAGATTTCATTGATGAATGAAATCACTCATCCTTGCTTGTCATTTTTGCAACATATTCTGCACATATGCTTCCCAAAAATTTGAATTTTTATCCTTGGGCCAGCCAGATTTATTCATACTTCTTTCTGCATGCTCTGAATTCCACAAGATGATAATGAAATCTTTTCCTGCAAGAAGTGTGGCTGAGCAGAAATTTATTATTCCGCAGAATCGACTGGTACTTAAACTTGCAATCAGGAACAAGAGTAGGGTCTTTAAAGAAGAGTGGTACAGTAAAAAGGATTGACTCTGTGGCAGCAAAGGTAGGAACAGTCTCTTCTGTTGGCCATGTTTGCTCTTTATACCTAGGCAGTCCACAACATGGACCGTGACAGGCTATAATAATATGCAAGGTTTTCTGTAAGATTGTTAGAAACATGAAAAAATAAGTCTTACATGGAGGCCTATAAAATTTGGAGAACATTTTATCTTACTGATAGAGTTGACGTTTTGTTCTCAAGAGCAAGGAGAGAGGAAGTTGAACGTCATAACAAGGAAGTAAGGCAGAATAGGAGTATGCTGCAAATTATTTCTGAAGCTGTGCTTTATCTTGACAAGCAAGAATTACAAGCCATTACTCGCAGCGCGTCTCCCAACCATTTCATATAAGAATACTCTATGTACGAAATCACCAATATGCGCAGAAAATCAAGTAAATCCACGAAAGAAAATCCACAGAAATAGACGACTGTTGACAAATGCTTATTTTATTATTTTCATTTTTGTTGAATCAAGAAATATCATTGAACGGAATTTTCATAAATAAACGGTTGAGTTGATATTAGGGTGATTGTGGGTAGTGATGAACACCTTTATAACCTAATTATTTCAAAAGCAAAACAGATGTGCTGCCTTGGCCTTTACTTTTTATACACAGAAAGATGTGTATATTAATGACCAGAACCAGTCAATCAGTGACCAGAAACAATGTAAACTGACCAAGAACAATTAATATTTCTTTGATAAAATATTTCTTTGAAACGAAAATGTACAGTAGAAAGTGGTAAATGTTACGCAACAGCGAGCCAGGACTCCCCCTAGGAGGCATGATCCGGGACTGTAATGTGACTCATTGCTTTTTTTGTGGCAGGTCAATAATATTAGTGGCAGCGGAAGCTGTGACTCACTATATGACGCAGGCTAGTGCAGCCCTTGATACAAACCAAATCAAATTGTTCATTTGATATTAGCATTGTTCCTCCTCACTGATATTAATTTTATTCATTTCTTTAGAAAAGACTAGATTCCTATTTGCAGAGTGGGCAGCAATATTCTTCTGAGTTCACATTTTGTTTGTCACAGGCACAGTGTATCCATACTTCACAACTAGAGCGCTCCACCCAGTCTACCATTCCTTCGTTCGTTGTATCGTTTTCACGGAAATAAATTCCACACAAACGTACCTCTTGTTGCTTTAAATTTTCCTTCACATTATTAGTATCCTCAATACTTGGCTTCGTTAATGTTCTTTTCTTTTTTGTTGCCTTCTGTTTTGTGCTATAAAATTTTCTCTGCTTTTCAAAATGTTTATTATGAGGGAACACCTCTGCCTGTCGCAAACTTTGTTGGTTAGAATTTAGACTTGAAATTCCATCCAGGACAGCAATAGCGTTCTTAAGATGCTCATGTGCAGCTTCTAGAGCATCTGGAACAGAACAAATTTCTACTTTGCTGGACAAAATATTCATTTTTCCTTGAATAGACTTTTTGGTAAAAGCCAAATCTGTTATTTTATCTGTTTTGTTTAACTGATGTTGAAAATATTGTCGTTTTTCAGTCACATCTTCATCTTCTTCGGCTCCATAGTTTTGAACGCCCTGCTTATAATTTTCGAAAAAATTTGAATGTATGGCATTTATGTGTTTGCAAGGCACTGAATGGATTGCATAATCTGCACAGGAACAAGAGTATTGATGAACGCATACTTTGCAACTGCTGCATTTCATTTTGCATTCACAATAAAAGTCATTTTTTATAACCGAATGCTTCAGTTGGTTTTCATTTGCAGTAGATGGAAAAATCCATTGTGTGGCATTAGCAGCAGAAACTTCTTTCAAGGAAAGTTCTAAAGAAGTCTTATGGCGTTTGTCGATATCCCCAATTTTGCTGGTACGTTTTCCTTTCTCAAGCTTTTCCCATGCCTCATAAGCTTTGTCTCTGGCAATCTTCAAGAGGACACTAAGTAGGTGATCAACCCTCTTGTTTCTTTTCCTATGGAAATAAATTGTTTTCAACACTCTATGAAAATTTTCCAATGATATATTGGTATTGGCTTCTGTTGATGTCCAATAGCAGTAAGCCCATTTGTGCATTCTTTGCAAAAACTCCTTTTTGAAATATTCATAAAATAAAGGTAACTTTCTTCAAGAAAACTGCACATTTCTTGTAACATAGTTTTAAACTCCTTTTCATTTGTTTCTGTTTGCAAAACCTTCACGTATTTGTAGACTGTTACCAATTACCTTTAAAGGAAGGTGACGTCATAAAATGATGATGACGTCATGAAAGAACGTTTAGAAGTAAGTATAATAGTAATTCAATACATCTTTCAAAAGCACTAAATGTGTGCTATTCGAAAATGGAACATATTTGACAATGATAGTTGCGAGAAAACAATTAAAAAGGTTCAAAGCGAATTTTCTCCAAGTTGATGACGTCATCAAAAATTTGACTTCCGGTCAAGATATTTTTAGTTTCATCTCAGATTTGAAATCTGCATAGTTAATTTAGTGCAAAAATGCATGAAAAGTTGAAGTCAAGTCCTTGGCTGATTTTTAAAGAATTTTTATTGTTTTTTGATTACGTCATCAAAAACAGTAACTTCCGGTGATAATTTTTTTTGGCCCATCTTGGATTTGGAATCTCCATGGTCGATTTAATAAGAATGTGAAATAAAATTTGAGGTTAGGCAGTTTGCTAGTTTTTTCTAAAAAATTCCCTGTCTATTACCTTCACATCTTCAAAGCTGAGCTCCAGAAGCTGCTGAACGTGTGTTCGTCTGCCTACTCATGTCTGCTTATGACAATTAAATCACAAAACATCAAACAAATAATCGAAAGATACACCAGATATGGTCTGATATGATATCAGCACGATGAAGAATTTTGAGAAAAGATTTTAGCGCCAAATTTTTTCTTTGTTATCTAGTTTCCCTGTAGTAAAAGCAACACACAAAAATAGAAGACAGAGGAAAAGACATCCGTTTATGTTCCTTTTTGAGGGAATCACCCTAATTCACGTGGTCCCGACAAACTTAACAACATAGGGCGGATAGTTTTAATACTTCATGCTCCACTTATCAGGGCCTCCGACTGCGGGGGCCTTGCCCCTCCCCCTACATTTTGCAAAACAATAGCTAGTCACAATTGACTTTGGAAATCAAGACATTGCAGTTCTGTGATTCTCTGTTATGAGCATCACAACAGGCAATTAAGGAACAATGAGAACAAATATTTTTTTATGAAATTTTATTTTTCGGCCTTCTTTTGAATCGGCTTATTTTCGAAGTGTTTTCTGAAAAGAGAAAAAAAATTGAATTTTCCTTCAATGCTTCAATTTACCAGTAGATTCGAATGATTTGATTCGAACATTTGTTTGACTGTCTTAAAAGAGTGTGCAATGCAGTGGCTTTACTGTGTCTCGGCTTATTTTCGAAGGTCGGTCAATTTTCGAGGAAATACGGTACTTTCAATCCAACCGACTCATGGGCGGCACGACCCAGTTGACCATTGACAAAAATTTTTCATGTCTGATAACCGTATAAATAGAAAAAAATGTCTATCTCCTATTTTGAATTCAATACGCATGTTGGTGATTACGTACATAGAGTATTCTATTGTGATATTATTGGGAGACGCGCTGTGAGTAATGGCTTGTGCAAGAATTAACCTTCAGGGGGCACAACGAATCTAGTACCAGCTTAAACAAGGGAAACTATAGGGAGCTTATGGCTAAGTTTGATTCTGTTTTCGAACGACGTCCTCATGGGCAATTGGACGATACAGAATGAGGAAGTAATTCAGGATCAAATTGATAAAGATATTGCTGAATGTAATTTTCTAAGTATTCAGGTAGATGAAACTACAGACATTTCAACCAAAGAGCAGTTGAGTGACATTGTTCATCTTGAAAGAAATGGTGAAATGGTGGAGAAATTTCTTTAATGTAAGCTCGAACAGATCAACTTCAGTTCTAACTGCAGTTGTGAAACAAATTCTATTTCGTTACCAGCCTACGTCGTTATGTAATTGTACGAGAGAGAGTGCCGCGCATGCGCCAACCAGGGTTGCCAACTGGCCTACTGGGAGGCCAGATTCCAGAAATCTGGCCTAATTGGAAAGACTTTTGCTACGAACATTTCCATTTGGCCTCCACCTATATTTTGGCTATAAATTGGCCTATTGTCATTTGATTACACAATTTCTGTGTTTTTTCGGTTTTACTAATTTTATCTGTATAAAGTGCTTAAGAATTATGATTGATTTATGAAAAATTTCTCGTCATCAAATTACTTGTAATTGATTTTTGTTTCTGCCAATGTACAATCTATTGTTATTAATCCCGGATGAGGTGCTTGTGTGACCCAGCTATCATGTGCGGGGTCATCGAATAAACTGCAAGATGGCTTCAGATGAATTATGAGTATCATGATTGATGTATTGACAAAATAGATTTTGAAATAGATATTTAACTCGTCATCAAATTACTTGTAATTGATTTTTGTTTCTGCCAATGTACAATCTATTGTTATTAATCCCGGATGAGGTGCTTGTGTGACCCAGCTATCATGTGCGGGGTCATCGGACTGTAAGTTCATTATACGCTCCATTGCAGAAGCCAAGTCATGTAAAAATTATTCTCGAAAGTAGTACAGATAGTAAGAGCTGAGCAAAACACTTGAATAAACTGCAAGATGGCTTCAAAATGGAAAGGAAGTTACGATAGTTCAAGAAAGTATAAGAAGAGCTGGGAGAAGCAATATGTATGGCTGTCACAATCACCAGATGGTAAAGGGAATGCATACTGTAAACTCTGTCGCAAATCTCTTCAAGCGAAACTTTGGTCAATCTCCAAGCATGAAAGCTCTTCTGAGCACTCAACTAGAATCAAAGAAACTCAGCAAATGAGACCTTTAGCTGTAGAAAGACGCCCTCGACCAGGGAAAACCAAACGGGATGTTAAAGAAGCAGAAATTCAAATAGCTGTTGGCATAGCCTGTCACTCTGCAATCCTTGCCGTTGATCATTTGGGCGAATTAATGGTTCAGCATGGCAAAGGAAGTGCTTTGGGGGAAATGCAACTCCACCGTACAAAATGTAGTCAGTTGATAAAAAATGTTGTGTCACCATCTTTGAAACGCGAGCTTCAAAAAGATGTAGAAGGGAAAGGTTTTGCAGTGCTCATTGATGAGTCCACAGATGTTGCCGCGAAAAAGAACCTTTGTATATGCATTCGATACTTCAGTGAGCAAGAAATGTAAGTGGCCACAGCGTTCGTTGGAATGATAGAAGTTGTCGAAGCGACGGGTGAAAACTTATTTCAGGCAGTGAAAACTGGTCTTCAAACGGTTGGACTAGATCTGCACAACTGCTTTGGCTTTGCAAGTGATGGTGCTTCTACAATGGTGGGGGAATGGAATTCAGTATGGTCCAGGATTCGGGAATCGTCGCCAAATTGTATACGGATGAAATGTATTTGTCATTCACTGGCTTTGTGTGTCCAACATGCATTCGAGAAGATGCCAGCGAATCTTGGCTTTCTTCTGAAGGAAATACCGAAGTGGTTTTCGAAAAGCATTTTACGAAGAGAGGCTTTCCACCAGCTCATAGACGCCATGAATCCAAATAATGAGCACGCAGGTAAACCAATGCCATTCCAGAAAATGTCTGCAACTCGATGGCTTGTCAGAGGGAAGGTGCTTTTCAACATTCTTGTCAATTGGGAGGAACTGAAAGCGTATTTTTTGGTAGAAGAGCCCAATTGTAAATCAGATGTTCGCTACAAAGCAAGAATGTTGCTGAGCATGTTGAATGATGACATCAACCACCTTTATTTTCATTTTCTCTCTCCAATCGTGACAGAATTTGAACGAGTTAATGCGTCATTTCAAGCCACAAATGCAGATCCTGAAGACATGATCAAACAGCTCTTCCTGCTCCACAGCACTCTACGCTACAGAATATATGGCTCAGGCGATGAAGTTCTGCCAAACTCTCGTGTTGATTTTGGTGTGAAATTTGTCATGGAATCACAAAAGTATATTCATCATCACGGAAATTCTGCTGAAGCGAAAGTGAAGGTAGAGGAAGTGTATAACCGATGCCAGAGTTTTCTCGTTGAAGCGCTTACACAGGTTGAAAATAGACTTCCTGGGAATGAAACTATTTTCAAAGGCCTCAGCTACCTGTCCCCAGCGACAGTTCTCTCTCAGGTTGACCGTGTGCCGTTTTATTCTTTACCCATGCTTCACGTCATGGCTGATATATCATCAGTTGAAGAAGAATATCGCAGGATCCTTCATGTCGACTGGGCAGGCGAAAGCGTTTTTAATGGATTTGTCCCAAGAGATTCAGCTGAATTTTGGTGTGGAATTTTGAAGTACACATCTAGTACAGGAGAGCAACCATTCAAAAGATTGGCTCTTTATGCTTTAACAGCCCTTGCGACCCCAGTGAGCAATGCCATATGCGAGAGAGTGTTTTCACACGTCACTAATGTAAAAACAAAGCTAAGAAGCAGAATGCGTCTTGATATGCTGGATGCTGTAATCAGAATTCGAGTTAATTTCAAGTTTGGGCAAAAATGTTGCCGAGATCTCAGAGTTTCACCAGAAATGCTTGAGTTGTTCAATTCTACAAACATGTACAACCAAAAAAGGGGAAACTTCTGCAGATGCAGATGAAGCTAACTTGAATGCATACTTGTGAAAAATTTTGTAACGACAATGCAACCATGAAATGAAAAATATATGATATATAAACATAATTCATTATAAACAATTACAACAATGTTATAAACTTGGTTACTGCTTTGGGAAAATTTTTGTTCTGTTTCTCTTCACGTTGTTGATTTTTTAACTGAATTTAATTAAGTTAATTTTATCAAGTCAAAGCAGTAACCAAGTTTATAACAGGGTAATTGTTTATAATGAATTATGTTTATATATCATATATTTTTCATTTCATGGTTGCATTGTCATTATAAAATTTAATTGCTGACGTGGAGATGAACAATTCTCTGATTAACTGACTTTTGACTTTTTCAACTGCTTTTAATAATTTAATTTTGTTTTAATATCTATTCTACTCTACTA